CCAGAAATAGAGGGACGCGAATAGCAGAGGGTGGCTGTAGGTGAAACCAGGCTTCGATAGCTTAATCAGGTTATAGATACCTAATTCTTCCCATTGCTGGGATTTCTTAGCTTCTACTTTCTTGAACCAATTTTGATAAGCAATATCAGAGGTGGGGCAAGATCGAAATGGCTTAAAATTACTTTTTACGTAATCCAATACAAAGGGGTCCTTGGGAGGAACAGTTGGGTTTTCTATGGTATTTGAACTAGAAGATTCTACTGCCTTAGGGGCGTCCATTTTGTTAAACAAGGGTTTAAAACTATAACAAACTGGGAAAATCATCCTGGTGTCTTTTAATATTTCAAAAACCGTAAGAGGGCCATTTAAAGCTAACCTCTTACCAGCAACGTTGGTAGGAATGAGTACCTGTGACGCATACAGCATTTCTTTTTCCTTTGAAATCATCTGAGGGGCAAGAACGGATTGACCTTGGTGAGTGATGATTTTACTTTCCATGGTAGTTCCTGCAGTTTTTCCTTTCTTCTTGGAGACTTTCTTGAGTTGGGATGACGTAGAAGAAGAGATTTTTGAAAGATGTTGAAAGCTTGGGTTTTTTGACGAGAGAAGAAGGGTAAAAGATTTAGAGTGTGAAAAGAAAAGAAAAAGATTAAGTTGGTGATGTTTTATAATGGGGAAGTTTAAGCATCCACTGAATAAGGGTGTGATACGTGGAAATCATGGGTTGGTGTGATGAAGAGGTGGCGTAAAGTTAACATGGGTAATAAGCGTGATTTAAAGATAATCATTATTTGTAACTGCACCATGCTGTGAAGTGGCTCCAGGCGGTTAAGGAATCCAAAAGGTGCTATGATTGACGTGACTGGAGTCAAATGCATTAAATATTACGATGATTCGAAAGTCACATCAAAATCTTGTGTAGATGTTTAAAATAGGTATTTCTCAGAGGAATCGAAATACATATTTTAAAGGGGCAATTTGTTGGCTGAAGATTTTGATAATGTTATTAGAAGCCAAATAAATTAAACGTTTCGATCGAAATGAGGTAAAGCGTCATGTTTCGAAGTAGCAGAAGCAGTGTTTCGAATAAGCATGTCAAAGCTTGGAGCTTCGAGTGGCAATTATGGGAACATATCTAAAGAAGTCTCGAAATAACAACAAGGCTGTGTCTGGGAAGTGCGTTTGAAACGGAGAAGTACCAAAGCATTTGAAATTCAAATGGAAGCGGGACATTCGAAGTTTGAAAGTTATGTGCTGGAGCATTTGGGGACACGTGGAAAGAAGAAAGAGGCATTGTTCTGCATGTTCTGAACGTGGCATAATCCTATAGCAAGACCGTTATAGTCGAATTAGTATAAATAGAAGTCTTAGTATTAGGATTTCGTGTGTCATATCTATTGTACTAAATACTCAGTAATATTCAAACTACCACATGGCAAGGGAAACGAATGCAAGAGAAATGTACGTATGATAGCACCATATATTTCTGATTTAATGAAAACCTTTTACCATTTCCAGCACTTTCCTTTATCTTTTTGTCAAATAACATTTACAAGTTTTCTCATTTACAGTCTTTTCACTTCGAAATCTCTTCAAAGTTTTACATTTTAATGCTTTCTTCACATTTCAAGCACTTTACATCTCAGAAAACTGTCATATTTTCCATACCTTTACCTTTAAGTCTTATCCTTCGAACGCATATTTTTACTTAAAGTCAATTACAGATTTCTTGCATTAAACGCTTTCTTCATATTTCAAACCTTTTACGTTCCAGAAATCTTTTACATTAACTATTTTATAATTCGAAACCATTTACTTGACTTTTATGCAATTTTACATGTCTTTACAATTAACATTTATTCATGCAACTTAGTTTCGTACACGCACATTTTGATTACATCTTTAGACTTTTTGAGAGAGAAATCGAAATAAGCCAAACGCATATACAACACTCAAATATCAACCATGAATATCTGTTCGATCGTGAGAGTAACCTTAATGTCCAAGGAATCCTAGGATCAATCTAGTCGGTCCTGTGAGTTACCAGAGGAATTGAATAACAGTCAGAAAGATTATTCGATAGTTTGGAAGACTAGCGGTTGTTTACCAGAAATCACTGGAAACACATACGATCAAAAATCGTGGTGAGTCCCGCTAACTAAAATTCAAACCCTTTTTCCTTAATAAGCAATTAAAACCCTATTTCCTAAAATATCACGCTTCTAAACCTAGTATCCTTGCGAACAATATAGATGAGGGGTGCCTAACACTTTTCCCTCGTCTAGAATCGAGTCCAAACCTAGAATCTTTGAATTTCGCATAGAAAATCTTTATACTCCCTTCCTTTAAGATAAAAATTAAAGGTAGCGGCTCTATTAAAATAACAGTTACAACACATCCTACCATACAAACTCCACTGTCAGCCTCACTTTGCCTGTGGCGCCAACCTTGCACCACGTGAACTCCGTAACCATATCCTCGTGCCACTCCAGCGGCGCAACGAGCCTAACTTTGATGTCGTCACATCAGCTCCACCACCAGCCTCCATGGCAACTATGCCAACTTCGTCGACTTCCTAACTAATTTGTGATTTCTACAATCTCAAAATATATTTTCTTTCTCTTCACCACCACTTAAGCACTTGAGGTTTTAAATCATCCTTCAACATAAAAAAATAAAAAATTTAGTGATTGAAACAGACAAAGAATGAGATTGTTCGAAAATGAATACAAATAATGAATTTTTTTAATTAAGTTAAAGGAAATCTTATTTAATTAAATAAATATCAAAACCAAATATTATTTGAAAGAATCGAACTCTTTACCACTTAAACCATAAGTCTGCTGATTCCAATTAACCACCACTCTTGCTTTACTTAAACAATAAAGCAGAACAAATTTTATATTTGCACATGTTTTTCTAACTACATGAACCTTACTTTGAATTCAGATTCATTCAAATGAAATGTTTCATATTTACATCAAGTAAAAAATCACATAGACACTCAGGGCAAAGCATTTAGAAGCACTCAACATGAAAAGAACAAGTCACTGGTTGTTGTTCTGAGGAACTGAATCAGCAATGGCAACAAGCTTCTTCTCAAGCTCTGGCTTGTTGGCACCTACAAGTTTGTCAAGTTGTTGTCCATCTTTAAGAAAGAAGAAAGTTGGTGTCGCTTTGATGTCCCATGAAGTGCTGAAATCCTGTAACAAACACAACCATGTTCAATCAAATGTATTGTTTGCCACATGACATGTCTTAGGAAACTTTATTTACAAAATAATTATATGAAATAAGGTTCACACTACTTACAGTTAGCTCATCCACATCAACTAATAAGAAAATCATAGATGTGTATTTCTCAGACATCTCGCAGTAATATGGCGCAATCACCTTGCATGGACCGCACCATACTGCGCTGAAATTCGCAATCACCTATGGAACAAGAAGCTTTAGTTTATAACAAACATTATGTGCAAGGTTTCTTTATGCAAGTTATAGAACCAAAAAATTCCTGACGGGATTATGGCGGTTTTGAAAATACAGATGTTACCAAATACCAACTATACAAATGTACGGTAAATTGTTGCAGAGCTTTAAAGATTCAGCCAAACAAACAACAGAACAAAATGGAAGTATGCTATCGATTTTATTGTCCTACTAAATTATTAAAAAAGAGGTGAGAGTGAAACTTACAATCTTGCCGTCCTTCTTTGCTTCTTCCAACTTCTGGTCCCAGGATTCTTTGGTGGTAATAAGTGCTACATTCCCAGCAGCAAACTCCACATGTTGATCGGAATCATTATCCTTATCCTGATTCTACAAGCGTTAAAAAACATGACACTTCTATTTCAAAAGATTGATGGATTATAAAGCAAACTTTTGCTTTGACACAATTAAGAAGCAAAAATTACATGCAACAATACAGCGAAACATGTTTTCCGTTGTTCCTTGTTTTTCCTTTTCAGAAGCCAGGAATGGCTGAAAGAAGCACAAACTTCTAGTTACAGATTAAGTATTGCCGCATCATACTGAATTAATAGGGTTTTCATAGGTCAAAACTCAAAATCACTGCAAAAGAAAACTCTCATTTGCGTACAATTCAGTTCACATAGGCAAGCTGAAGACTTAAAAAGGTAATCTCTGGATGCGGCTCGCAAATAAGTGATATTTGGCCACAAATAGAACATATATAGTAAAACTTCAACGTTACGACAGCAGTTCTTTCTTATCGATTGATTCTAAGAAAGGAAAAAAAACATGCTAGTCGCTACAAAGTGTGCTTATCTTATCGGTACAATTTATCGAAGAGAAAGGCCTCAGACTTTCAACTTTTAATGATCATAATAGTAAATAGTAACTTTGATGTATCGAAATATTCTTACCTTAGCCAAGCAATTCCCCATATGATTGTTTGAAAACCGCTAACTTGTAAACTTTAACAAAAAGCAGAACAAATTCCCTGAAGTCCACCAGAACAAAAGAGAAATTAGAGAAAACAACAGCCAGATCAGAGTTTTATTGATCAATAAATACGTACATCATGCAACACTAAATTGGCGCGTTCCGAGTCGATAAAAACAGAAAAGGCACTCCAATAAATGTTCACTTGAGCAAATATCAGAAGTTATTTCCTTATATAATCATGTAAACACTTTCAGTAAAGCACATACACCGAAACCTGTCCAGTAATAATAATTTGAAAAAAATAAATAAATTGTACTAATCATGTGTCGGTGTTTCGGATACGCCTTTTTTCATAGGTGTCAGTGCCATAGAGTACATACACTCTTACACATGAACCCTAGATGAAACAATTTTTTTACTAGACTTTACTTTTTTTTATTACATTAACTTAACCCTTAAGAATTTCAGATTACAAGAGTCCTAAGGACAAAGAAAAAAATTCCTACAAAGAATGCCTTAAGAAAAACCACAAACACACCAAAATGCAAAACAAAGTAAACAAATTCCAAACATTTGGATTTGTGACCAGAAAATTACTTTGGTTGATAACAGACAAGAAAGGCAACAAAAGAGTAATCTATGGAATCAGCTAGTCTGCAATAACAACATCTGAAAATCAAAGTTCCAAACTTTCCATCAATTTCATTCCAACAAAAACAAACCCAATAAAATGAAGTAAACAAAAACATCTAAAACAAAAAATATACAAATAAGAGAAACCAGTTGAAGGAAGAGGAGGATGAAAAACATACCAGTTGAAGCGATTAAGGAAAGTGAAAGTAGAGACACAGAGAGTGAACCTTGAAATTGAAGAAGATAAAGAAGCTATTTGAGGTTTGCGTGAATAACAACAATTGTGCTAAGACACAAGAACAATTAATGTATTTTACTGAAAAATAGGTTCTTGCAACATAAGTTATTGTGGTTAATGATGTTTGGTTTTGTTGTTTGTCGGGGTATCTTATCTTGTACTATATGGTATATATACATGCTAGCTCCTCAACAATGGTCAAGAGTAAATAGAATATAACAAACAGCTATGGTAAAAACAAGTTCTTGTCAAAAGATTGAATAAATAAAATGGGTCAAATTTAATAAATAATAATAAAGAAATGATCATTTTTAATAAAAAAATCAAAGAGTTATTTAAAAATATAAAATATTTTTTATGGTAGAACATTTTCATAGAAAAATGAATTATATCTAGAAGTTTACAGGGTAAGCATATGGTATTGGTCAATTTATTTGGTTTAGGGAGGTGTTGGGAAAGTGCTCACACGCCACTTGTGAATGGCTTCACTCATGAGTTTTGCCAACTAAGAAAAATAAATAACCAATCAATGTGAAACTAGAATTTAGCAACTTAAGTGGGCAGTGTATTTAAGATAATTAAAAAAAAAATTAAATTTTTTTGCAATAGTTTTACTTAATAAAAACACAAGAATTATAATTTTAAAAAAAAAAAGTCAAAAAAATATGCTTAATATTTAAAAAATCATCATCATTAACTAAAAGTTTTTATTATTATATTAATATATTATACTACGAAAATATTAAGAAATTCTGAAAAAAAATTCTACTTAATAATTTTTAAACTTAAATTATTAATTTAAATATGAATGCTTAAGACTCACACGACAAGAAATTGTTGAAATGATTTTTAATTTAATTTTAAAACAATTTTAAACTAAAAACCACACAATATATTATGTTAAAATGGGGATGAGTTGAACAGTTGTTCTATTATAACTAAAATTCAAAAAACATATCTTTTAATTTATTTTTTTAACTTTAAGACACTACCAGTAGTACCATTAACACTACTCTAATCATTATAGTCATCACTTCAACTATGAGCAACTATTACTCTAATCATAATCAATCGCCATATAATTATATATGATCACCACTTTATTTGTTTATGATCTATGATATGACCACTATCTATTATAATTTATAACGATCATTTTTTAATTATTGTTAATTATTTCTCTAATTCTATTGATTATTACTTTATTTATTTTTTACCACCATCAATCATTGTTTAAATTATTATTAATCACCACATCAACCACAACTTCAATCATCGATAATTACCACTACATTCAAGTTCGACCATCAATTAAAGTATCAATTATATTCTAATTACTCTTTTAACCATCTCATCTATTACTACTTTGAGCAATATCCTAACCATCTAAAATTACTACTATGACCACAATTATCAAACATCACTCTAACCACCATCATCGACTATTAGTTTAACCATCATCAACTAACACTCTGATTATCACTATCACCCACCACTATTTTAATTATCACTTATTACGATAATTATCACTAACGACTACTTGACTATTAAGTATCACGATGGTCACCACTACTTTAACCACCTCATATCACTATTTTCTAACAATTGTCATTTTTAACTATTATTATTAAAATTATAATTAATATATATATTCTAATTATTTTGTAAAATTTATAATATAAATTGTTTGGATTAAAAATATCTACAATAAAGAATTTTTGTATATTTAAAAATATCTCATAATTTTTGTCTAATTTATTTTTATAAACTTACAGTTTTTATAAACTAATTCAAAAAAAAATTAAGATAAATTTATACAAAAAAAAAACAAACAAACAAAAAATTGCATCACTATTTTTTTTAGATGACAAAAATAATATTTTTTAAAATCGTATATATATTAATTGACTTTGAAAATCCAACATTATTATTGATAAAGTTTTTTTTTACTCTCGGTAAATAATCAACTTTTTATTACGCTAAAAATTCAAATGTATAAAGGTAAATAGATTATAATTTATATTTCTTTTAGATGTTATTTTGTTGTCATAATTGAAAAATATATATTAATTAATTTTTATATTTATGTTATTTTTAAATTATAAATTTCTTCAAAAAATTGATCAACCATAAATTCAAAAAGAGTAATATTATATAATAAAAATCATTTTAATAAAAAATAAAAATATATTTATTATTGTTTTAGAGAATAATTTTAATTTTTTTTTTTAATAAAAATCATAAAATAATAATTATAATGAATAGTATTAAATTCTTGTTTTTTTATTATTTTTTATTAATAAATATTTTCCATTCAAAAATAACAGTGTATTCCATATACCTACCTATATGAAAAAGTTAAAAAGGGAAAAAATTAATGTGTTTTGTGTAAATGGATAAGATCAAATAAATCTCTATCACCTGGCAGAAAGATCAGTTGAGATTCTTCAAAGCCTTGGATAATCAAAACAATAATTTTAATATTAGAAATACTTTCTAAAATCTATGATTGTTTATACATTTGAGAATGTAACAGAACAAAAGAAAAAGAAAAAAAAAAAAAGGGTCCAAGAGTCTATTGAGTTCTAATGGGTTTCACGTGGTTTTATTAAAGGTTAGAGACACTAGTGCTTGCCACGTCTAATATATGCAAACAAATACTTAAAAGAAACTCGTATCTAGCCCTTTTTGGAGAGAGGAGGGGATATTTTCACTATTGAGTTGTGTTTTGGATGACCAAAGATTCAATAAAACCAACATAATTCATAGATTCAATTTAGTAAAAGTGTGGCAATGAGTTCCTATTTTTGACGGTTGTCTGGACTCTAAGATGGATAAATCCAAAACCGTTTAAATTGTATTTAGGTCCCACACATGTATTTCATTCGTCCAATTTATATAAATAATTTCATTTTTTTTATTTATTGAATAATTAATATATCTAATCTATTTAATAAATTTTAATTTTTATTTGAAGTAATTTTATATTTATATGATATTGACTTGCACATTGATGTGCTAATAATATTTTGTAAATATTTTCAGTGATCTTCGGAGTACCATAACCACTGCATTAGATGCCTCATTGTGATGGTTATCATAAACCTATCAACTATTTCTTGGTTCTAGTACGGATTAGTAGTGCCGTTTGTGAGAATCATTCTTTGATTTTTTTAAATTCTTCATCAATTTTCTCAAGTTTACATTATTGCTTCACAGCTACCGTTTCATGTTATAGTCCCAAACAACCATAACATTTTTCATTGTTGTGATTGGTGTTATCCTCTTTATTGGTCAGTTCAAATCTAGACTATACTCGCAACACAATTAATGATCTTAATTAAATGTTCACATTCTTAAAGACAATGCTTCATTCGTTCTCTCTACTGTAGGTGAAGAACCTCAACAACAACAAGATCTTCAGGTTTCAACAACAACTCCTCAATCCACTGTTCAACAATCTCATCCAATTTTTTTGTTCCAACACCATTTTTCTCCTCATTAAATTTTGTTTCCTCCATATCATCATCATTTTCCTACATAGACGAAGAGTGTTCATATGACATTATGTATGTCAAATTGTTCACCAAGCTAGGCTTGAGGAGAAAATCATTATGATTTACATAGGAACATGCTTGCAAGAATTCAATAGAGAAGTAACTTGCCATCCGGGATAAGACTGTTAAATTGTAATCCAATGTGTCGAAACTATGTGTCGAAAAGATTTGATTTGTTTTAGATTTAAATAGATTTGATTTAAGTCTAGAATAAATTAGATTTGATTTGGTAACAAAAAGATATTTTGGGCTTTGGGCTTAGGGTGTAAGCTTAGTTATAAATAGAGGGAGTAACCCCTATTTTTGTAAGCAATTCAAGCAAGTCACTCACAGTATTTTGCAGTTGCAAAGTGAATAAAAAAGTTTTCACAGTTTGTGAGCAGAGAGAAACTCTGCAGAAATTATTTGTCTTGTCTTCTTTTTTTTGTTTGTCTCATAATTAAATTGTCATTGTGATAGAAATTCATCATAGACTTTGGTGGATTTCCAACATCTGATATCAAGAGCTTTATTTCGATTTAAGGGAAGTGTCAATCAAGAACGATTGAAGGATTCACGATGACAAGTTATGGGAATGCAAATTATCCAACAACCCTACCAATTCTGAAAGTTGACAACTATGAGAATTGGTGCAAACAGATGAAAGTCTTATTCAGGTGTCAAGGTCTTTGGGACCTTGTAAAAGATGGAGTCGAAGCGCTTGGAGAAAACGCTTCAGAAGAAGAAAAGAAGAAATACATAGAATCTGAGAAGCTGAGTTATAAAGTATTATTTATAATTCATCAATGTGTCAACCCAGACAATTTCGAAAAGGTTAGTGATTCAGAATATGCAAAAGAAGCTTGGGAAATCCTTGAGAAGTCTTTTGGAGGCGCTGAGAAAGTGAAAGAAGTGAGGTTACAAACTCACAAAAGGACCTATGAACTGCTTCAGATGGAAGACAGTGAAAGCATATCTGATTTCTTCACTAGAGTTACAAAACTAGTAAATCAAATCAAGATATATGGAGAAGCGTTAACAACAAGAGTTGTTGTGTCGAAGATCTTGAGATCTTTAGCTCCTAAGTTCGACCACATAGTGGTGGCGATAGAAGAGGGGAAAGACTTGTCTAAATTGACAAAGGAAGAGCTTCAAGGGATGCTTGAATCTCATGAACAAAGAATGAACGAAAGAGCTACAGTAAAATCGAAGAGTGATGTGGCCTTGCAGGCACATTCAGCAAAAGAGACCAAAGGCAAAGGAAAATGTTTCGACAGAGATAAAGGTGGCTACAACAAATCAAATGGTAGAGGAAACCAGGTTGAAGGAAACGTGTCGAATT